CAACGCTGAGCGGTGCTTTGGGGGTGGCACACACAAGGGGTGAGCGAGAGACTGGGTAGCCCGCCGTTATAGAGAAATAAGATCGGTGTGATAGATGGTTAATGAGAGACTAAGAGAGAGAGAGAGAAAGAGAGAGAGAGAGAGAGAGAGAGAGAGAGAGAGCGAGAAATATAAAGAGAGAAAGAGGGAGAGAGAGTGAGAGATAGCGCGAACGAGCGAGCGAGCGAGCGAGCGAGCGAGGGCGACGCGGGTAGGAGGGAGCTTTCCCTTCACGGCGAAAAATCTCTGCTGCTTGGAGCGTCCGCACTGCTCGCCGGCGGCACGTCGACTGACTCGCGTAGTGGCCGTGCGCTCTCGGGAGTGGCGAAGGGGGCGATCGGCGGAGGGGGAGGGGGCTCGCGCGTCATTGGCCCCCATCTCGGCGCAAGTGTGGACAGGGCCTGCGCCGTAATTCCGAGCTGCGCAAACTCGTCGGATCGAGCGACTCGGTCCTCTCGCTCCAGTAGCCTCCGTTTCTCGTGCGCCTTTACTCTCTCGAGCCGCAGTCACGTTTCTCCCGAACGGAGGCCGCGGCTGGCTCGACAGACGTCTACATCTCTGTTTACCCTTTGCCGAGGTTTGGACAATCCTCCTCCCAACTCGGGTCGAACGAACACCGTGGCCGGGGCCTCAAAGGATCGGTGCAAGAGAGGTGGGAGGACTGAGAGGCCACGCTAAATTTAGAAACCCAACGCTGATGTCGCGCAGCACGTGCCACCTGGCGTAACGAAATAAAAGCCGGCGCTTGCACGGGAATGGTAATTTCTCACCCTCGGACCCATGACCCACTTCGAGTTGGCGCCACCCACGGGAACGGAAGGGAGTGGGTGTCTGACTGATGTCGGGCCTCTACTACTTGCAAGCCGAGTAGTGCGAACGGGGTGTCATTTGGGCTCTCACTGCACCCCCATGACTTTAAGTTACCGGTGATTCAAAGATAGCAATGAAGATCTACTCTCGATCAAATATATAGGCTGATTTGGAGTTTGATTTATCATGATAGTTCCTCGATTTTACAAAATTTAAAAAAGTTCCAAAGCCAACGTTTTGAAATATTGTAATAATAAATAAATAAATTGAAATGGAAAATATTGAATATTCTGTTTGATGTAAATATATAATTTTTTTCTTATTTTTTATAAAAAAAAAAGATTGCTTCATTAATGTAGAGCGTGTGGCATTTTCATTTAATTGAAATTAACGTACGAATTTATTTAAACGCTTAAAAATTATAAAATAAATTGTTTTTAATAGAAAAACGGTATTTTGTATCAATGTGTATTAGACATGTTAAGAAATGATTTAACGTTGATAGAAATACAGGAGCAAAGGAGTTGATTATTAGGTATTTATGATTGTCATACAAAGCTATTTCATTATGCTATGTACAAAGTAGCAAGATGTTTTTTCAAGATATGATATAATTTATCACGTCACAGGTCCGTACATTCCTACTCAACAGGCTTTTTACTACTTCGATATTATGTTTCGGGAAACGTCCGTTACTACTGAATATCGCGCTGCATATCGTGGATTTCCAATAATATTTGCAAGTACATAATACTTAGGTAATAGTAAGATAATATTGTGAATATTGTATGAAAAAATTCATAATAATCAACAACAACAAAAAATGCAAATTCAGATCAGTCTAATAAAATTTTAATAATGATTTGCTACAAATAGACAATAATCAGACCGACGGATATTAAGTGATATTTACATATAATACGGATTTTATGAAAATTGATAAATCTTTACAATGTCGTTTAAAATATTCTTAACTTTACGTTACATATAAAAATTTTTATTCCTAATATCTAATCCGTAGAATCCATATTTAATATAACTTATGAGAATTTAGACATACATTTAGTCTAAACTTTCTATTTCTCTTTTAGACATTTTTATCTTTTCGTTTTTTTCCATTTTTCTTTATACCCTTGCATACTGCTCGATAATATCAATAAAAATGTATTGCAAAGGGCAGAGCATTGAACTAAGTACTTATAATATTCAGATCGAAAAGCTCTTTAAAAGTACAATGCATACTATTATTTATCTGCAATTCATCGTATCGTATTATTATAAAAATTTTCATCGATCAGACAAATAATCGATCGCTCCCCGGCGAGACTATTAAATTTCGTTCCATTTTCGGTATGTTACTTGTTGTTCTAATTGCCGGACGCTCTGACATCAACTATCGTATCAAATCTCGTCATCCACAGCCGATTCTTATCTTTGATTAGTCGTCGACGACCTTGGCAATAAAATATTTTTAACGTTATTACGGGAATGTATTTATTCGACCGTGACGGATTTCGCCAAATTTCGCGGACAATCGACGTTACAACCGCGAAGTACTGCAATGTGAAATGAAAGTAATTGCATTGGAATGACAGTTAGCACGCCCTGAAGGCAGTCCACTGTTTTTGGAATCTCCAGAACTTTTGCGGCAAATGATTTTGTCTCAGTGTCACCTTCCTCGCAAATAACAATTGGTCTGCCATCGCGAGCTGTCACTTGCTGTAGAGCATTCATGCATTTCTACAATTAAATATTAAGTACGATTAATGAATATCCAATTCATTGGGCAACGAAAATAGATTTACAAGGGATAACAAATTACGTACAACGTATACGGGATCCCGCATTACAATCATTATTACGGGCATCGAGTCATCGACAAGGGCTAGAGGTCCGTGCTTCAATTCGCCAGCCATTATACCCTCACTGTGCATATAAGTTAATTCTTTCACTTTCTATAACAGAGAATACGATTCCATTAGCAGCATATCTGTTATCTATCATCAGTAAATTCATTGACAATAACTTACAAGTGCTCCTTCCATACAGGTAGCAAAATTATATCCTCTACCCATTATTAAAAGGGATTTATGTTGAAACAATGACTTTGCCAAATCTTTAACTTTCTCATCCAATTCCAATACCTGACGAATTTGATTGTCCAAATTCTTCAATCCTTCAATAATCTATCAAACAAACATTCTATTAAACTTTTATTATTAATTTTAAATTTAACGTTTATTAATATCACTGAATATATGAATCTAACATTCATTCGTCTTGTTCCCAGAGAAATTCTGTCCTCGCTCATGACAAGCGCAAACATCACCAGAGAAATGAATTGTGATGTATAAGCCTTGGTGCTAGCAACGCCAATTTCTGGACCAGCATTAATGTGAACTCCACAATGCGACTCACGACAAATACTACTTCCAACAGTATTGGTAATTCCAACAATCAAAGCTCCTCGAGTTTTACAGTATCTCAGTGCCATCAAGGTGTCCGCTGTCTCCCCTATAAATACAGTATTCAAGCTATTTCTCGGTTTTCTTTAGTAAATCCAGGCTATTATATATTCAATATTTATATATATATATATATATATATATATATATATATATATATATATATATATATATATATACACTGTAACATTATTAGCAACAATGAAAATTACGTGAAAAGCACTTCAAAATAAATTTCGATATATTTTAATATCGTGTAAAAAGCTCTTTGATTGATTTTTTTCAGCTCTGTAATAACTCTTATTTTAATTTGTTAAATCTTCTTAAATAAAATGAAATACCGAAAGGAAACCCTCACTAAATTTCATCATACCATAATGACTATTTACTGGTAAATATATCAGAAAATGAAAAATGTTAACAAAAAATTTTATTTACATGTTATTATGATGAACAACGCATTAAAATAACTATATTCTTTTTATATTATTTAGCTATCCGACAATAGAGCTCGATAAATTAAAAGAAAATTAATAATCTCTGATATTCGAATAAACTCTGATTTTTTCGAAAACTGTCAATATATTGAAATTTTCAATGAAAAAGTTTTTCGAAACACCTGACATTAGGTGTAAACGAATTAAAATTAAAATATCTTAAAACATTTAAATATTAAAAAATATATATACTTTAAATATATACTTTAGTAATACTTTATATTATAAATTACATAAATATCCGACTGATTAGTAAAAATACCTTTAAACGCAAATTATTTTAATACATATTCTAAAAAGATAGTACGAAATCTGTCATGGATTATATTTACACATCTCACATAAAAATAAAATATATTCTCTAAAGCAATTCAACATTACATTATAAACACAATTAATAAATAATATATACATCCAATATACCTGACTGAGAAATAAAGAAACAAACATCATCACGGAAAACTGGTGTATTCCTATCGAGAAAGTCAGATGCAAGCTCGACCATAACGGGTAATTCCGTAAGCTCTTCCAAAAGCTGCCTTGTGGCAATTGCCGAATGATAACTAGTGCCACAGCCAATTAACATAAGACGCCTGCATCTTTTAATTTCGGGAATATAATCCTAAACAGAAAGCAGTGGTTTTAATTCTAAAAATATGAATGAATGTCATTCCGCGAATGTGTTGATGGTAGGGATTCGGTTAGAGGGCTCTTAGAAATGAAAAAGTACAATTACAAGTTGTCGCACTGTATAGAATTACCTTAATCCCGCCCAATCTCACGGAATTATCGCGGAAATTCAATCGTCCTCTCATTGTATTTACAACTGACTCAGGCTGCTCAAAAATTTCTTTCTGCATGAAATACTCGTAGTTACCCTTCATTATTTGCTGGATTTGCATTTTTAGAGTATGAATTTCACGAGCATGAGCATCATCTACACATCGTCGAAGTCGATGAATACTGAGTGCGCCATCCTTCACAGCAGCCACATCGTCATCCTGAAATAGCGAAATATTTTCATTAATTCATTTGAATAGTAATAACAGCATCTGTAATGATATACTCGGTAAAAATATTATTAATTATATAAAATAAAAAGTATAGAAAAATAGCATTGATGTAGGATTGTAGAATTGAGTCATTGTCAGTATTTCAACAATTAATTTACTTTGTAATTACATTATTACGTTACTTATGTTGTCGTTTTATGTTTTAAACTAAATTTGTTATGATATCGACATTGTTAAGCATTTAAGCTACACGTGATTAAATACAAAGTGTTGAAATATTTTATAAGAAAAAATCTGCAGAAAATTACGGAATGTTTATGTTGAAATTAAAACAACAAGCGCTACCTTGAATTCTTAACTCAATAACGAAGACAAATTTTTATAGACATACATACGTAATTTCCTTGGCCTTTATTCACTAAGAGCCACATATTGTTTCATAAATAACTTAAAAATTAATCCTATGCTCTATTAAAAGAAGATAAATAAATTGAAATAACTGCGTAGAGCCGAAGAATGTTAATGTTTATTGATTCGACGCATCGTTATTGCCCTGTATATCGAAATTTTTCGAATAAATCGAAAAAAATTTACCTCTAGAAAAATGACGCGATTTGTATGTTCAATTACGGCACTAGCGTCAGAGGCAAAGAAGTACTCGACTTCTTTATCTTCGAGCGGTTGAAACTCGGAAGTGCTTTCGCTGCGTGGCATGATTGGATAATCCGCGGAGCGACGGTGCGGACGGTGTTCTAGAAAAAATTGGTAATAAAATCCGGCCGTTCATCTTTACGATCTCGTATTAAATATTCTAGGCGAATTTAAATAATAATAACAAAGAAATTAACTGTATATATGATATAATGCTGCACAATGAAAGAGTACATTCCTGATAAAGACTTTATTTTCTTCGTTAAATGCGTACGTGTACATGGCAAACCCCTTTCATGTGTCTGCATTAAATCGCACATTACACCACAGGCTTCCTTGCCAGTAATGCTGAAAATAAAGAACTAAACCATCACCGTAACAGTGTTAAGATTATTAAAAGATAAGTAAATGAAATTAAATTAAGCGTAATTTCGGTTGACTAGAGTATTCAAGTAATTCACCCCTAAACTATCCACTTAGAGTTATAATTGTAGAAATCATGTTTATACCTTTTTATATTTTCAGGTTTTAAGCTAAAATGTGCAAAACCAAATTAAGGCGTACAGACGAATGATTAATGCCGCACATCAAGCTAAGATATATTAACTTAAAGGCCAAATTGTTACAGCGTTTGTAATAAAAGCATAAACGTAAGAAAATAATGATAATAATGATAATAATGATAATGATAATGATAATGATAATGATAATAATAATAATAATAATAATAATAATAATAATAACAACAACAACAATAATAATAATGATAGTTATAATAATAGTTATAGTAAATAATCAAAGGCAAATGTTGCGAAGCTTATTATCATGCAAACAAATTTAAACGTAAAATGAAGGTACCTTTAGTTGTTGCTTCGGATTCTGCAATTTTCGAGGCAGAGGAAGAAAGACGAAAAACAAAAACACAATTAGTTAAAGAAACCATGCTTAAATTAAAACTAATATGCCTGTAAATAACTAAAATGTAAAATGTAAAAAAAAAAATTATGCATAATGATCAATTAAAAATCAATTAAAAATTAAGATAAACTTAAAATACGCAATTAAATTTAAAAGCATTTAGAAAATATATATTAAATACATTGTCAATTAGATTTTATCTTTATTATATCTTTCGGTAATTTCATCGGTCATTTGAAATCCAATTTTCTCAATCCCAATATTAAAATTGCTTTTATAAAAATGTTAACTTGCGAAGCATATATATATATATATATATATTTTTGTAACCACTAGTTATTCAAAATAATTTAAATTTACAAATTAAAAAATGTAAATGTATGCATGTGCATTTAAATGATGCACAACATCGTAATTATAATAACACTAATATTTTGTGAAGGAAGGAAAAAAGATCAATAATAGGAGAATCGAGAGTACCTGGTAAAACACAGAAAAAAGAAGTTGGCGTGCATCATAAGGACGACCGATAAAATGTTATTCATTTTATTCTTTGTCGTGTACTAAAGATAATCAGGAATTCGATTTTGACAGTTTTAAGCTTAAGTACCGTAACAGGTAAAGTTATTAATAGTGTCTATGTGTTATATACCTTTGACAGTGCTTGGAAGGTCGTCTGTTCAGGCGATAAGTCGAGATACAAACCGGAAGGTGAAGTTTCATGCAAAAGAAACATACATGTAGTATCCACATCAATGGACTGCTGGTATTCAAAATTTATTAAAAAAAAAAAAAAAAATATATATATATAAACCACTAGAAAGCAAAAATATCTTTATTTTTAAATAAAATTAACAAATCAATAACGTTTACTTAGCGATTTATGGTGTGTACATAAAATTCAATGCGTATACAAGCTCTACCTATTAATTCTTACATGTAGGTGTACGAATGTGAAAAAATCTAAAATGAGGAAGAGATAATATAAAATTAAAGAGAAAAAAAAACAAAAAAAAAATTGTTTCATTACTCTTTACGATTAAACAAGGGATAGATTATAATGATGATAATGCGTGCTACTGGTACACATAAATACACACCTTGTCATGACATGGATACAGTTTATTGAATTAATCATGCGTTGTTAGAAACAATTCTTCATGCATTTCCGTAAAGTAATGTTAAAAATTAATGTTATGTTATTAATGTAGATTATGTTATAAACGTCATTCGTAAAATTAAGTTGATTGCTTTTATGTCAATACGTAATTTCATTAAAGAAGGTATTCGTGCTATGTGGATTATTATTTCGAGAAAGGTACTCCAGCATTTAATAATTCACTACTCGATGAATAAGAAGAGTTAATGCTTGAACCATCAATAAGGACTAAATTTAATCAAGATATATATTGATTGCTGATGCAATCGTAAATCTCAATGGCTACGCCTTTACCTTCACCACAGTAACACAGATCAAGCACAACAATAAAGACAGAATGTTCTTTTCCTTCACACTTTCTCCTCGAGAATTCCTAAATCCTCCAAAACTATCTCTTCTATAATCGGCGTATGTTTGTTTCTCATAGTCGTCAAAAAAAAAAAAAAAAAAAAAAAAAAAAAAAAAAAACAGCAAATATAAATAATAAATCAATCATCAAGTTTCACCTTTGCCATAGAGAATGGGCACATGATCGGTGGCAAGTGTAGTTTTGGTTTTAATGCCAACCAGAAGCGGCGATCCACGTCGCGTGGCTACGCATTCGTCCGGAAAGTGCTTGCTTTTGAAGCACAGAGCGAATGCACCTTCCTATTAAAATAAAAAAATTATATCGACTTTTTTTATGAATATTGCTTTTTAAAGGTCGAATTAGCATGAGATCTAATCGATATTATCATTGGGAATTGACTTTGCTTGTTTTTGATTATTCGAAATTTGCAATTACATTTTACTAACATCATAAATGCGACACGAAACATAAAGAAGTCATTTAAGGTGCCCAAAGCATATTATATAAATTATATGGCCCCATTACTATCAATTATTATTTGAGTCTTGAATGAGTCAATATATTTACATTTTTAAATATCTAACTGTATGTATGTATGTATAGAAGTGCGCGCACGTATTTGTGTAACGCATTAATTTTCATTTAATCTCCTTTCATTTCTAAATTTCATCATTCTCACGTATTCGAAAGTTCAAACAAACACAGCTTATAGCACTTTTTAAACCTAATTATTGTCTTGATATTTGCAACAAAATAATATTCAAAATTTCTTCGTAGTTTGAATGTATAGAATATCATTACATAATTTTATTATTGCTTAATGATTGTATAATCCTTTGTATTTTTAAATAACGAACGTCATTAAAAGAATAGTAGCTCTTTACAATAATGAAATAAATAGTAAAATATTCAAAAATCATTTCGTACTCATAATTACAAAATAATTGATAAAATAGTAATTGTATACAAGTATTATAACAGGACTTCTTAATACGTGACATTTAACGTTCAAGAACCTCGAATCGCTTATGCATTCTATATGACTAATCAATGGGGGGCGGGAGGGGGATTGGGGACGCCCACCCTTACATCAAACCGAGTATTAAACTAAATTTAAATATAATTATCATATAGTTCATAGTACAGTTACTGTATATACTTACGAGCTGTTGCACAACTTGTTCAACGAGCTCACGAAAGGCATAGTTTGGATGCTGAACCCACAGATGGTGGATGAGCTTAGCTATAATCTCCGTGTCTGTTTCACTTTCAAAGTTGTAGCCACGATTTTGCAGCAAGATCTTGATGTCTTTATAATTCGTGATGATTCCTGAAGCGCGAAAGCGTAAATAAAGAGGTGCACAATTACATAAACCACTCGCAAGGAATACAAGAGTGAGTATACAAATGTATGACAACTTTACCATTGTGGACAACCACAAATGAGTGCTCGATGTCAGATCGCTGAGGATGGGAGTTCACCTCGGATGGAACACCGTGAGTTGCCCATCGGGTGTGAGCTATACCTACGTGACTCTTGATGCTTGAGTCAAAATCAAGTGCAGAGTCTGTAATGTATATTATAGGGTCTCCCATAAGTTAATAAGTACGTTCCTTTATACATGGGAAAATATTGCCATTCGACCAGGTCTAAATGACGGGTGTTATGTAACAAAAGAGGGAATACTTTTTGTTATTAGTCTTTATGTAACCGACAATTTCAATATTGAGTAATGATAATCATCGTGATTACATATTCAATATTACATTTAATTCTTCTGCTTATTCTTTAACAGGCGAAACTCTAAGCAATATTAATCTTTACGATCCACGAATAACAAGACAATATTTCTCACACTACTGTCAGTTATTCCTGCTTTATTATATGATTTAATAGCAACTGGACAGATAGTTAAAAGCTTCTTCATTTTTCTCCACTAGCATATACGTATAATTAAGGAATATTATTTGATTATTAATCATAATGAAGTGAATTACGTGTGTCGGTTTAGGGACTGGTGGGAGCAGATATATCATGCACTATATAATTGTGTGTATATATATATATATATATATATATATATATACTATACACTGCATATCTATAAAATATACATATAATGTTTTCAATAAATAAAATGGAGACGACGAGAAAATAAGATAATTAGTGTCTGTATGCATTTTAATTTTTAATACCATAGAGAGTATCGATCAAAATGATAAGTTTTTACAAATATTACAACCATATATTTACGTTCTTATTGTCTAAAAGAAATTAATTAACTTAATGTAATTTTTTAAATACAAAATATTCTATAAATTTATATATATATATATATATATATATATATATATATATATATATTTATTTATTTATTTATTTATAGGTATAAACATATATCATACATTGCATATTAACATTCGATATATTTTTCAAGTATTAATGTTAATTTATATTATATATTTGTAATATAATATATGAAGCTTCAATATGTTTAAAAAAATTTATTTCTTTGAGTATGTGATATTGAACCGGCAATTAATTGAAGAAATTAGCGTAAAACTTTTTACTAACAAGTTTTATTCAATTTATTGATATATGAAAATACTAGATAAAAAAAATAATATGTAATGTAAATAAAATCAGTAAATTATCAAAATAATACCGCCTATTATAAGTGAAATTTATCTGTCACTAAGAAAAATATCTCGGAAATGAACGTATGTATAATACGACAAGAAATGATTTGAATTTGTAATAAAAAAATATAAAAAGAACAATGTACTGATATCTGCTGAATGTTTGATATTGAAATTGTAATAAAATATAAAAATACTATCGTGAATTGCTTTTGGATAATAAATAAAGAAGCCACTTTGTATTGAATACAAGTAAACATTTGTTTTGATGACTTACTCTGAAATATTTCCTCCTCAAGAGCCTTGACTTTTCCTTGCTTCTTAATAATAGCGATATCCTTGCCGTCGGATGAGTCAAGGGCGACGCCTGCATTTTAAAAAGAAAAAAGGGTGAATGGTCAAAATATCGAAAATCACGCTTGGTGCAATGTACTTTCTCTTTCTAAGCGTCATTCGACCACATTCTCCGCACTTTAACAAACAAAAAAAAAAAAACAAAAAAAAAACACAAAAAAAATACTAAGTGACGCAAGACGAACGAATTCACACTCCTGCACGCTCATTGTAAGGTATGCAAATAAGATAATAAGTGCAAAAGAAATTTCGTGGAATTCGCTTATCGTCAGAGGCGCACCTTTTTCTTCATACAAAAAAGCAAGAGAATAACATCGGACTTATAGTCATCGATACCTATATTTTTATTAAATCTTACCTGCAGAATCATAGCCCCTGTATTCTAGTCGCTTTAGTCCACCAACAAGAAGTTCCAAAATCTCCTTCCTGCTCTTAGGCGTCAAATAGTTCAAGTAGGCGAAAATTCCTGAAATTTTTTCGTATATGACAATGCTGCTTTATAGTATTGTCTCGAGGCGCGTACACATTGATTGTGCCAAAAGAAAGGATTGCCGGCCCAGGGATCAACAAAAACTATAAACTTCGTCCATTAAACTCGAGTCGTTTAGTCTCAAAGGCCTCCCAAAGGGAAATCTTTCAACTTTCTCAACTTTTTTTGGAGCTTGTAATGACTTGTTATATGATACTACATCTTTAATTTACAAAAAATTGAAAAACTTTCGTTACAAAGAACGCATGAATCGTACCTTATCAGTTGCATCTATGATAAAAAAATATTTAAATTTCTTAAACTATTCAATCGTTATAAAATGATTGTTTAGAGCGATAAAATAAAAGTAATGTAAAGAAATATTTAATGAATGTAATCAAGATTATTATGCAATTCATCAATTCAGAATAAAATATTACCTAAATAATTAATTATTAAAAGTTTTATAAAAAACAAAACAGCATTTTAATTTATATTCAAAATATCTAGTTCGATGAAAAATGTCTCTTAAACAATTTTTGTCCACTCGAAAATTAAAAATTATTTTACCATTATTTTTTAAGCAACTAATTGAATAATAAACAAATTAAATTCGTTCGTTTATAAAAGTGTGGTTTAAATATAATGGAGGAATGACAGAAATACTTTTTTACAGAAAACGACCTAAAATTATAACTTCATCCTTACTTTTATTACATCAGAAAATTATTAATATTAATTGATCAATCAATTGATTATTACTAACACAAGATCCTATAGCCATAAAAAAGCCGTAATATTATAACTTGAAAAATCATACATAGAAAAGTAAATATGTCATTACTTTGAAGGTCTCAATCAATTAATTGCAATGCAGTGCACGTTCCCGTTACGGGCAAAGGTGAATGACCGGCAAGGTAAAATGAATTTCAACGCAATGTCAAGACACGAGTTCCTAATTCTTTAATCTTACATAAGTTATTCTCTCTGTCTGTTTTATAAAAATATTTTATTCTTAATTATCCACGGATTATGAAATGAGAATGAAAATTATAAAATTTAGGTTACTTAACGAATTTTTTAACAAATAAGCAATTCTCAGCATTCGGCACGTGCATTTTACGTAAAAGAAGTATTTTTAAATTTTTAATCTAATTTTACTTCATTTTAATTATTTAATTTATAAAAAATATATATATAAGCTCATAAGTACAATTTCATGCTTTACTAAATTACTTAGATTTTGCTTACGTTAGAAAAATCATCTTTTATAATACTTGATAATAAATTATTATATCTTTATATTACTTAGAAGAAAAAAACTGTATTTTTATATTATTGACATTAATTTCAAAATATACTTAAGTATTGAATTGAGAGAGTAAAGTTGTGCAAACAAATATTGATGAAGTCTCAATAAGCGAATTAAAATTTAAATATAAAAAGAAACATTTATAGTAAAATAAGGAAAGCGGAAACCTAAAAATTACAGAACCCGTTCGAACAATATTTTTGCTACAATTGGATTTTAAATAAATGTATTGCTATTAAATGGTTATTTAATAAATATTTTTAAATAATGGATTTTGTTTATACATAAATATTATATATATATATATATATATATATATATATTTGTTTTATCAACTCACTGTACGCAAGTTATTAATTGAAAGCCGATAAAAGATTTTCTTTCAAACAAGTAGAAGCATTAATAAAATTGAAATAAAAATACTTTTATGAATGCGCAAAGCACCTATTTCAAAATCAATAATTGCATAATATTAATTAATATCATTGAAATTTTTCATTAAGAATTATATAAATTAGTTAGAAACTTGTTTTACTACTTTTTTTTATTAATTTTATTATATAACAGTAATTTTAAACTTAATAAATGATTAATTACATGGTTTCCTATAGTTACAAAAGTAAAAATGAAAATTTACCTTTTACACGTATTAAGAAAATGTATATAACTCTAAGCGATTAGGATAAAGTTGAAATCAAATGTTAGATAAATAAAGTAAATAGAGTTTGGTCAGTGTCTGGGGCGGAGGGGGGGGGTCGAAAAACCTGGTATAAATTATAGACATATTATTTATCAAAATTATATCGTTTTTAAAATATATGAATATTATGATTTAAAAATTAATTTTATTTTTATATCAACATAAATATCTAAAACTCGGAATTCAATAGTTGTTTTCTAATTATATAAAATTTAAACGGAAAATTTATAGACAATTATAGACAATATAAAAATATACTCAACATATTGAAAATAAATATATCGAAATGTATATTTGCTGTTAATTCGAGCTAATATGCATAATACGAAGGTGTGTTAAGTGTGACTCTACAAATAAATGAATACACATTGATATTTAAAATAGTAAAATTAAATAACGTGGGCAAGGAAATTTTCCTAAAAGTTCGTAGGAGTAATTCAATACATAATTTTCATACCGTACCTCTCTCTATCACTCTCGCTCTCTCTCTCTCTCTCTCTCTCTCTTATTTTTATGTCTCTATGCCACGCCTGCGCATATACTTGCAATGTGTTGTCGTTTCGGCAGAAAGTGAAAGGATAAAACTACTTCGTTAAAACACGTGTCACTACAAAATATTATTTAGCATAATGGCACGCCGATGTTTTTAAAGATATCAATAAGCTAACGGAAACGTTTTGATAAGAGTCAATAGTAACCGACGAAAAACAATCTAATGGCAATACAAATGCGTTGCATCATGTATGTATATCGAGCAATTGCAAAATAATAATAATACATTTTTATGCTGCAAAATTTTTAAATTATGTGTCCGCTGTATATGATAAGAAGAATGATAAGAACAATAATACCAGTTCTCTTTATGCAATGGTCTTTTCAATTTTACCCACTGGCCTTATATGCACGGAGGAAAAAAGTACCAAATAACTTAAAGCTGTAGATCATAAATTTACCGTTAAAATCAGAAATCCCAGAGAAAATGAAATCCTCGTTCAAAGTGTGGCTATGCGATTCTACGTAAAATTCATACGCGAATTGCAACAGAATGGTAAATGAAAACGTGATTACATGCATTCTCAGCCCGACCACTAAATGTATAACCATAGACTTTCCCCAACTCAAGAGCCTCGTTACATACATTCGATTTAATAAAAAAAAAGTATCCAGTCGCATCGTTTGAAAAACCCTTCATCGACCTTGCGTCTCGGTCATCAAACTACAAACTTCAACGAATGTTGTATGCCTTCGCGATGTTTACGTATCCCAAACTTGCGGACAAACAGAAAGAAATATGAGAACGAGAATAGGAACTATCAAAAGTGATTATTACGTCTACGAACACATCGCCACCCGACCATGCAATTCACCGCCGTTCAACGAGGCCCCAAAGGATCACGTGTATGTATGTGTACGCGGCGAACGGGTCGCGAGGGATAGGGGGAGGGGCGGCGAGGAAGAGAGAAGGAAAGGAAGGCATCGTCAACGATGTAGGAACTTTCACTCGGACTTCCAACGACGCCGCTGCTGAAAATTCCATCCGCTCGATTTCGCAAGCCTTCACAGCCTGGGAAAGCGCGGGCAGGAAGGGAGTCGCGACGATAAATCGTCAAGCCGTTATCAGCTGGTCCGACGGACGGCTTCGACGCTCGCGCTCTTATCGGCCGCGTAGGCGAACTTTCGAAAAGAACGCCGGCTAATCAACCGCGACAGCGGCCACTGGGAAATTAATTAACACCTTGGCACTCGGTGCTGCTTGCCGCGAGCAAGGAGAAACAGCTGCGATTCAAAAGTCGTACGCAGCAGCCAGCCAACCTATTAAAGGGAATTAAGAGATACGGGAGCGCAGTTACCTGCGCGGCGAGATCAACCGAGACTTTAAGAGAAATCTGTGATACGAGACTACTGCGTGCCACAAAAATGAAAAAAGATCGAGATAGAGAGAGAGATAGATAGATAGAGAGAGAGAGAGAGAGAGAGAGAGAGAGAGAGAGAGAAAGAGAAGTAGAGAGAGGGGGAGGTGCGAGGGAGAAAGACAGACATACGGTGACACTCGAGTAAGGAAAAAAGAAGAGAGATGCGCGGTGAAAGCGCTAGTCGCGCCTTTATTCTCCTCCTTAGCCGCCGCCGCACCCGCCCTGATGACCGATTGATTTCACCCGCAGCCTACTACTACTCACCACACATGCTGATGTCAGCTAGACGATGAGATTATCTGCTTACTCCGGGTTCCTAGAAGTGCCTGCGTGTATGCGTGCGAGCGTGCGTGCGTGCGTGTGTGCTTGCGTGCGTATGTACCTACTTACATACGTCGCTGCGGCTGGCTTCTGAGCGTCCGCGCGCTCGCGCCGGGCTTTTTATGCCGTGCCTCCAACGACTATTCCCTTCCTCTATCTCTATCACTCTGACATACACAGTCTCTCTCTCTCTTTCTCTCTCTATCTATCTCTTTCTCTCTCTCTCTCTCTCTCTCTCTCTTTCTCCCTCTCTATCGCTCACTCCCACTCTTCCGTTCGCGCTCTCTCTATCCCACCCTCTGTCTCTTACACACGCACGCACTCTCACGTCGTCTGCTGCAAAACTCGAAATGAGCCGTGCACGCACACCCCAACCTGGAGATTTGCACCCGAGGGATAAGCTGTACGACGTGGAGGAGGACACGGACACAAAACGGTCAATAGCGACGAACGACGTCCTTGTCGTTACGGTGCGCGCGGCCCTGCGCCATTGATCAACGTAGTTTGAACGAATGACAGCGGGAAAATCCATAGCGTTTAAATATTACCACGCGAGAAGCTTTTTTATTTTGATTGCGTTTTTGTCTGATTCACACAGCTGCGGGGTGGGAGAGGGATTCCGGAATAGAGGGGACACGTCCTGGCAAGGCAAATAGAGCTGGTCATCAGCGTCGGTGAAACGAGTTTCGCGACCTGGGCTTCTCGTGTCTGGTTTCTCAAGTATCGATCATGAATTATATCGCATTGTCGGCGATAAGCCGATATCTTCACAATTAAACTTTACTTAACGAAGGCGTTAACGAACGATTAACGTACTTTGGCTTTTGAAAAATTAACGCAATAAGTGAATTTATAATGACTTTATACTACAACCTCTTCGAATTTCCATTGAATTTCCATGCCGACATATATAATAAATATACCTCATAAAAGATGCGTCACACAAAAATTCTACAAATTTATAAAATTTATGCTAATGCAGTACGCTTATGTGAAACATATTTGCTTATAAAATATAGCCTTTTACAAGTCACTAACATTTGAAAAAGTTTATTTTTTATATCGCGCTTAAAGCTAAAACCTTGAAAAGACAACATTATTGATCATTGTTTAATTTTAGATATTTCGTGAAAATTTTTAAAATAGACTTACACGAGTATTATTTGATTTTCTCAATCATGGCACTCACATTAGTATTTAAATTAAAATTAAAATGTTTAGATAAATATCATACATTCGACATAATAGTTGATCAAAAATTTATGACACTTGGTTTAACTACTTAAGCGATTAAAATTAATTACATTATTAAGTCAAGATTGTTCCAATTTGAAAAAGAAACGATTAAAAATATAAAGTACGATAAATTCTATAATAACAAGAAATGTCAATACTTATAGTACAAATTGATTAAAAAATATATCTTATAAATTAATTAAATTTTGTTATGTGTTTCAATCATTTGAGCTATGACGATAACAATCATTTTTAAACTAAAATTAAAAAATCAAATAATTAAAAAGAAAAAATATATTTGTATAATTTTATTATAGTATTCGTTATAATTTATAAACAAAGTAAATATAAATAATGGCAAGCATCGTCCTGCATTATAACTTAACTCATACTATATATAATTTTAGTTATTGCATACTTATCTTTTAAACAATATATTTATATCAAGTAGTCTGATAATTTTGTTATAACATTTTTGTTATAACATTCTTACTTTGAATGATTCGTACTGGATATATTATTTTATATACGATAAGTAATTCTGTTTTTAACAATAAAAATTAAAAAAGTAATTTAAATTTTGAAATCCCTTTAAACATTATATTGCCTATACATTAACAACAAATTCTTATCTAATTCATTTACAAATATTAAATATTCATAATTTAATCAAACGCAATTAGATAAAAAAATATTTTTCCTTTATACATTTTCAATTCATTCGATAATCATAATTTTACAATTATAATTTTCAAATTGTATAATTAATAAAATAGTTAAAATGAAACATAATATAATTATAGTGATATAAGTCGAAATAAGATTAAATTTAATTTCAAATATTTTTATATTATATAGTTTATTGTATACTTGATGAATGATTATATATGAAATGTATAAACAATACTCGTCTTATAAATCAATAATATAATAAATAATGACAAATGTAGAATCTTATAATGAATTTATATACTTTATATATCTGATGAAAGATAGTTAAAATACTTCCTCTTTAACAATATTTCAGAGATAACAATTCATATATTGATTAAAAATAACTTATTTATAAATAACATTTCTTTCATAATTTAATTATAAATTCTTACCATTGTCGAAATTTTTTTCAGTAATAAATCTGACTAATAAATATAAAACAAACATAAAAAGATAGTAATTATGAGCAAAAGTTTCTTTAAAATAATTTTTTACATTATATTTAAACATCCTAGATAACTTTATATCACGAATTATTTATCAAATACACATCAAATATTTATATTCTGTAATAATTAAAAACAATTATTAATTAAATATGTAACAGTTTATCAATTAAAAGACAGGTTTATTTTAATTATAAAAATACGTTTAATTGTAAATTTTTAATATAATTTAAAAATAATAAATTTGTTTCAACTTGGTATCGTTTAAGGTGCTTCTAATTGTAAATAATTATAAATTCTTTCAATAAGAATGGACTTGCTTCCTGACGTTACTTGACTAATACTTCGAAGAAATTCTTTTAATTGTACAACTGTCAATGTATGAAGCTATAACATAAATAAAAATAAGTATTAATTATTTAATGTCTTGGTAGTTTATTTAAATTACACTACCTTTTTATTATTAGCCACATCTTCGACACTTAATTTTAACCTTTTTTCATCACCATGTACTTGTAATTTGTTTCGCTTCATTGATGAGACAGAAATATTATTTAAATTTAATATATTAATTAGTGTATCCTTCAAAATTTCTGCATCAACGCTTAATGGTGGAGGAACTAAATATATTTAATTTTTAATATATTAAATTAACTAATAGGAGATTGAATACATCAAGTACTTACGAGTGCTATCTGGTGGTAGATCACCTAATTTTTCATCTAGAGCCAATGCTTCAATATGAGCAATACATTTTTCTAATTTCTGATTTGTAAATGATTTGGGATCAAAATTGACCTTCGATTGATCCATTAGCTTTTTAAAGACTTCGACCGCTTCATTATTTATTGGGCATTTATTTTCAGAATTATATACATATTTGTGTAACTGATTATTCAAATTTCTGACACTATCTATAATTTAATACAAGATAGTACAATTATATTTTCATTATAAAAAATATCATTGGTACATAAACTATTTTTAAAAAATCATGTAAATATACCCTCGAAAGGAATTTTATACATGTAGAATCCACCATCATCCTCACTAGGAATCATCTGGCATATTAGAACTGTATATTTTGTAACAACTTTGCAGATTGCCATAACTTTCTTACTAACACACCTACTAACAAAAGATTTGAAGAAAATTTTACGCTCTGTAAAATCGAAATTCTATAAGATTAACAAATTTAAATACTAAAAATATATTATTAATTAATAATCAATACCATGATTGCTATATTTAGTATACGTAACAAAATAAGGTGAAGTAACGTGATATAATGGATCGCACATTACAGGTTTAAATGCTAATATTTCAATGCCTGGTTCTAAGCCTAAATGTTTTATTTTTTTACATTCGGAAGAACTGAAACATATTTTTACGCCATTATACATTTTATAATACATAATATTATCACTTGATATTATTTTTTTTTGTGTCCTTTCTATTCCTTGCTCCTATTAATTAATAAAAATAATTAGTTGAAAATAATTAAAATTTACAATATAATTCTAACTATAACATTAATTTACTGATAAACTTTGTGATTGGCTGTCTTCTGTATTTTGTTTATATAAAACATGACGCGCTTCTAAAACTACATTTTCTTCTTTTTCTAATTTTATTTTAGAAGGATATTTTGGTGTCCTACAAAACATTGCATTAGATTTACCTATACATAAATAAATATTTTGTATAAATTAATTAAATCTTACGAAATCAAATTATAAATAGAAACATCCATGCAAATATCACTACTAATTTTCCAAGATAACGTAGTAATACTTTTGGAAGGATTTAAAATATGTCCTTTAAAATCATTCAAATAGAATCTTTTGTAATCATCACTAGTAAAAGTTCCAGATATTATTTGTAAATCTTTATAATACATTTCATCGTTCCATGAATTTGAGAATCCAATAACACGTAATTCAGTTTGAGTATCCTTGAATGTTGAAACTAAATGCTCTATTCGACGTCGTTCAAATTCATTACAAGGTTTATCGTCACATGTACAAAGTACAATAATGTATCGAGTTTTTATACTTGTTTTAAAAGTATGTAATTGTTGAAAAACATACGAAAAAATATCATACAAAGAATATTTTGTTGCTGATAACTCTTTATATTTATCGTAATTTTTTACTAAAAATGATAATAACCGTATATGGATAAAATAAAAAATATATATTCATAATTTCAAATATTCAACATACTTATACTTTTAACATTTTTCAATGTATCTATTGTAACAGTATCAAACTTTTGCAATATCATTACATTATCGATATCACAATTAGTTTCAATCGTTCCATAAATAAAAAAACCTAATTTATCTTTTTTATTTTGAGAACATTTTTGCCTTACTATGGTTTGATATGCCTACAAAAAAATAAAGCATAAGATGAATAATATTAATGATAATGTTTAATAATTTAACAATAATAAATTACTTCTTACATCTAGACATTGTTCGAAGAAATTATCTGTAAACATTTGTTGAGCTCCATCAACAAGAAATATTATTGATTCTTGAATAAGATATTCATTTTCTTTTTCCAAATCGAAATCGTTAAATTCATTATTATGTAAGAAATGAAACGACATTTTTCACATTATATTTTTTTATCTTTTTTAACAATTTAAAACTTAAATGGAAATAAACGTTTTCATCCTATATTCTATATGTGTACGCTAGCACATGTAAACATTAACGTAAATTTTTATAACCTAGCCGGCCCAATTACCTATAGTAAAAATGAAAATACATCTACATAAATGAAAACGGGTGAAATGAATATTTATTAATAATTAATATCAATAAAGGCTTGCATAGACTTTATAAATGTGCGTATGTATTAAACAATGATTTAATATTTGGTTTTACAATTGGTTTTAGAAAAAAAAGCAGATATTGTACTTTTAACTACTAGCATAAGTATAATTAAATCTTGAAGTATTAATAAACGATATTTCTAAAATAAATACCTTAAATTGTAAAACATTTGCAAATAATTTATAATTAGAAATAACTTATATTACACAAAAATAAAAATTGATGGTTTACGACGCGAAAATATTTCGTCTGCTTAGAACGTATATTGCGTAATATAACATAACCTTTCATCTTTCAAAATTTTATCAAAATTTCAAACTTGATTTCTTGAAAATTTAAAAAAAAATCTGTTAACTAATGCTCGATCTATATAAAGTAACAATAAAAATCATAATAAAAATGTCAATCAAGCGAAAATGTTATGTCTTCCGTAATTATAAGTAAAGTAGTTTTACTAATTATAAATAAAGTATCGATGCTGATACGATAGCAAATTTTTTAAAATTAATGCTACCAATATAATACATTTTAAATCACAATAGATCGCGAATGGTATGATAGCGGACGTTATAAGAAATAAATATCAGCTCTAAGAAATCCAACATTACAAGACTTTCACGATTGAAATCTAAATTTTTTTTTAATGCTGACCTAATCGCGATACGCTTTTGCACTTTTTCTAAAATATCTAAAATAGGTCGGTAAATGGCTAATTGTAACGAGCGGATGTTCAATTTCTACTCGCCTTTTCCTCCACGTTCTAGTAAAACTTGCGTTTGCCTGCAGTGATATTCATGGATAAAGTAACCTTCTGAAAAACGCCATCAGTAACTGATTCCATCATACTTCCATCACTAAATAATCTTGCAGATAAAGTTGGCTAAGTGAATGATACATTAGGATATAAGTAATTGTTGATCCATAAACCAAATCATCGATAGATAATAATTTATTGCTAATGGTGATAAATTAAAAAGATTTCCTAAAAGAAAGATTTCTTATAAATGAATGGCAACAAATTTGTCAACATTACATTTACCTGAAAATATAAATATATTTATATTATAATTGTATTATAATATAACACTAATAAAACATTGTTATCATTCTCTAACTTTAAATAAAAAAAAAGTTCCACATTAGTTATCAAAAAATTATTAGAGGCTTTACTATGTCAAATAATTTTTTTATTAAAATATGTTTATTCTAATAGAAACTCTTCATTAAATACTAATATTTAATATTATTTTATTTTTTTATTAAAATTTATAAGACTTAAACGTAAGCTATAATTCATTGGTAAATTAAAAATTATTACCGTTATTAGTACTGAAATATATTTTTACGTTTATATTTTTTAATTAATATTACCTTATTGTTCAATATATTAACTCTTGTGAGTAAGAAATATGCATTCAAATTAACAACAATAAACTTTGGATTAACTTTCTTACGATAAAAAATGTAGATCTTAATCATTTATCTGACACTAATTTGATTTTTATTAGTTTAAACTTTTCTGTTTAACTTTATAATATAAGTATATTATAAAGTCAAGAAAAATATCTATATTTTACAGCACAAATAAATTAAAAATCAGCATGATACTCATCATCGGCTATTTATTTATTAACCTACCAAACTTCCTGCTATTCTTATTCCCTCTCAAAGGTCTTCCAACCAAGATAATAATAAATTTAAGGCATTGTTATTATTCGCGTTTCTGAATAATTATGAAATTAAAGAATTCATTATTACTGGAAAGCTTTCGACAGCTGAAAACCAATTAATTTTTTATCATATAATTCAACATACGATCTTAAAGAGAGATAACAAGTCGTATTAATAGTTAAAAGGTCCGAATATTAAAAAATGGTATATATATCAATTTATTTATAATAATAAATAATTTATAAAAGAACTTACTATTTATGCAAACAAGATGAAATTTTTTCTTAACTATAATTTTGATTCATTACATCTGGCAACCGTATAATTTTTAATTTTTTTTTTTTTTATCTAATCCAGTAAGTTTTATTATGAAATTTAGTTAGTTTCAAAATTCCAATTCAATACGCCTATTTTTTAAAATAATACATTTATAAGTTCTTTTCTTGACATCATAAATCAAAGTCTTGAATAAAAAACTTCATATAAAAAATGAAAACAATAATGTAAGTTCATAAAAATTTAATTATAATCAAATATAAATAATACTTTAAATATATAAATCGATTTATTAATAATGATATTTATTACATTTTATAAATTAAATACTATCAATTTTATATATTATTTAAAAATCTGTTTTGTGTACCAGTAAGTTTTAAATTACCTTATGTAAATGTATGTTTTACATCACGAGATTTTAAAAAATTATCTATCAATATACATCCAGGCTCAATATGCTTAAAGATGTTTTAAAATATTTAAGTATAAATAAAAATTTTACCATACATACAACAATTAATTATCATATAGGCAACACTTTATACCAATGATGACAATTTATTAGCGATTAATTAATATAACATGTAAAAAAGTACTGTGAAATATATATTTAATACAATTAAATAAGTACTTAATCTTTTAGCTAACTTTATGCACAAAAAATAAAGTGTTATTAAAAAAATACAAATTAAAAAACATTAAATACAATTAAAAAACGGAAAAATTATTTTATCTGATAAATAAATAAATGAGCAAATATACAAAAGAAGGTTCAAGGTCAATGATAAATAGATAATTTTTTAATTTATACATGATCTAAAGACTTGTCAATTAATGTTATCAAATATAAATATTGTTTATGAAATTAGTTCAAGAAACTCGAAAAAAAAATGTATATATAAATAAATGTATGTATGACTTTATTAATCATAGGATTAATATTAACACTCTTCTTTGTAACGAAAATAAACCAAAAAAAAAAAAACTTTTCAGAAGAAAAATATAAACAATAGCATACAAGCAATTAAATACTCTATTTTAATTTGAATTCTTATAACAAAAAATATCAATCTTAATTCATTAGCAGTACTTTGCATTTCGATATTCAGTACACAACAGATTTTCTCTGTACCGAATGTTTGTTTCAAGCTCAATGAACTGCAATACTACCGTACTCCTCAACTATTAAAGTACCATCCTTATCAAGAAACAAATAATACTTAACATATTTGCATAATTTTACAATTGATTAATTTGCAGGTATTATAGTAGGTCGGGTGTTATTATAATTAGTGATTAATGTGTGCAAAACGATTATTCAAATACAATTATGAAGCGCTAAAACGTCAGTTCCTACTTTTACTGATTACTAATAAATAAGAGCTTCTATAACCAATATTATTATAAAAAAACTCATTTATTAAAGTAATATAATACGTAATAATCGTATAAAATATAAGTAATATATCAAATGTTATTTTATATTTAACTTAGTCTTATTGATAAAAGATTGTGCTAAAATATTTAATTAATTGTTGAAATAATTGTTAAAAATAAAAAAATCATTATTTAAAATAATTCAAATGATTCTATATATAGTTACTACCATGTTTTTAGAGATAGTTTTTAAAATTTTATTAATAACTCAATTATTAACTTTATTTTAAAAGAAAAAATAGATAAATTTGACAAAATATATAATTCAAATTTACATATATATAATTTATCGAAATAATTCAATTAAAATTGATTTTATCGAATTAAAAAAGATCTTTTCTCAAGTTACCGTCAATTTTTAATGGAAAATATATTTTATTGGTTGTTTTAAAATAGATTCACATTTTTCAAATATTTAACATTCGACTCTGATCATGCAAAATATAATTTTAAAACTATTACTAAAATTAGCGGCATTTTCATTGTACTTTTTTCAATACGTATTTAAAATTTTATGTTCAAACTATAGATGAGCTAATAAAACAGCATTTAAAAATTCATTCAATTCTATCATTTTTATGAAATTTTTATAAAATCAAACTTTTAAGATTTCTAAAAATGTTTCGAATATACCGAGTGAATTTTTATTTATTACTATTAAATGGGGAAATTGTTAAGTGGGATATTCATTTTAGGTCTGTTAATAAAATATAATTATATTAAATTAAATATAACTATCTTTTATAATGATTAATATTTTAAAAAATGTTATATTATTAAAGTATAATTTTATTTTTAAATTAAACTCAATTTCTTTATTTTCAAAAATATACAAATTTAAGTCAAAATAACATGAAATTTTGGCGAATCACAATTTACTTTAATTGGAAACGAATTTTCTCAATTAATAATACATACGATATTACAGTAGTAATTATTAATACGCTATATTTCATTTAATTACAAGAAACGTTTGTAACTGTATTACTATGATGCAGTAATTATCACTAATTATTGCATTATATTTCGAAAAATATTATCTTTTTTTTTTTACAAAACTTATCGCAATTACTTTCGTATTTCGTAGGTAATTCGTAGGAATATAATTGAAGGGTAATTTGGAAATGAAAACATCCTATCCTACAATAATTGATTTTATTAAATAATATAAATTATTAAAATAAAATTAAGTATAAATAACTAAAACGCTAATTTTTGTTAATAAAAAAGTATATAAAAATATTGTAAAGGATTATAATAATAATTTTTCAAGATATTTCATTCAAGTTATTCTTTAAGGATACTTATTTTGACGAAATAAAAACGCTTTTTATTATAGAAAAAGGTTTAATTTACATAATATAAGCTTATACGTTAGTAATAC